CAGATTCAATGTGATTCCTGTCAAAATTCCAATGCCATTTTTGAGAGAAATATAAAAAACAATTTTAAAATTTGTATAGAAGTATAAGAGACCCAAAACAGCCAAAACAATCCTGAGCAAAAAGAACAAAGCTGGAAGCATCACACTACCTAACTTCAAAACATACTACAAAACTACAGTAATCCAAATAGCATGGTACTAGCATAAAAACATAAGGAAAGACCACTGGAACAGAACTGAGAACCAAGATATACATCCACAGATTTACAGGCAATTGGTTTTCATAAAAGATATCAAGAACACCTAATGGCAACTGGTTTTCAAAAATGATATCAAGAACACCTAATGGGGAAAGAACAGTCTAATCAATAAATGTTGGGACAACTGGGTATCCTCCTGCAGAAGAATGAAATTAAACCCTTATCCTTAACTCAAAACGGATTTTTTTCTTTCGAACTTTTAAGTTCAGGGATACATGTGCAGGTTTGTTATATAGGTAAATTCATATCATGGGGGTTTGTTGTATAAATTATTTCTCTCTTTTTTTCTTTTTTTTGAGACAGGATCTCACTCTGTCACTGTCACCCAGGTTGGAGTACAGTGGCATGATCTTGGCTCACTGCAACCTCCACCTCCCAGGTTCAAGTGATTCTTCCACCTGAGCCTCCCAAGTAGCTAGGATTACAGACATGAGCCACCATAGCCTGGCTAATTTTTATATTTTTAGTAGAGATAGATTTCACCATATTGGCCAGGTTGGTTTCAAACTCCAGACCTCAGGCGATCCACCCACCTCAGCCTCCCAAAGTGCTGGGATTACAGGTATGAGCCACTGTGCCCAGCCCCTTGCCCACTTCTCAACGAGGTTGTTTTTCTCTTGTAAATTTGTTTAAGTTCTCAATAGATGCTAAATAGAAGACTTTTGTCTGATCCATAGTTTGTAAACATTTTCTCCCATGCTGTATGTTGTCTATTTACTCTGTTGATAGTTTTGTTTGCTATGTAGAAGCTCTTTAATTAGATCCTATTTGTCAATTTTTGCATTTGTTGCAATTGCTTTTGGCATCTTCATCGTGAAACTGTTGCCCATGACTATGACCAGAATGATATTGCCTAGGTTGTCTTCCAGGGTTTTTATAGTTTTGGGTTTTACATTTAAGTCTTTAATTCATCTTGAGTTGGTTTTTATCTGTGCTGTAAGGAAGGGTCCGGTTTCAATCTTCTGCACATGGCTAGCCAGTTATCTCAGCATCATTTATTGAATAGGGAATCCTTTCCCTACTGCTTGTTTTTATCAGCTTTGTTGAAAATCAGATGGTTGTTGGTGTGTGGTCTTATTTCTGGGCTCTGTAGTCTGTTCCATTGGTTTATGTGTCTGTTTTTGTACCAATACCGTGCTGCTTTGATTATTGTAGCCCTTCAGTACAGTTTGAAGTCAGGTAGTGTGATGCCACCAGCTTTCTTCTTTTTGCTTAGAATAGCCTTAGCTATTTGGGCTCTTTTTTGGGTTCCATATGAATTTTAAAAAAGCTTCTTCTAGTTCTGTGAATAATGTCATTGGTAATTTGACAGGAATAGCATTGAATCTATAAATTGCTTTGGGCAGTAGTCAAGCCTAAAAGCAAATCAGGAACGTAACCTCATTCACAATTGCCATAAAAAGAATAAAATACATGAAAATACAGTCAGCCAGTGAGGAGAAAGATCTCTACAATTAAAAGAAATAAGAGATGGCACAAACAAATGGAAAAACATTCCATGTTCATGGCTCATGGGGAAAGAACAGTCTAATCAATAAATGCCAGGACAACTGGATACCCAGCTGTCCATGCTCATGGCTAGGAAGAATGAATATCAATATGGATTAAAGGCTTAAATTTAAGATTTGAAACTGTAAAAGTCCTAGAAAAAACCATAGAGGAGAAACTCCATGACACTTATCCAGGGAATGGTTTTCTGGACATAAACCCAAAAGCAAAGACAACGAAAGCAAAAATAGATGAATGGGATTATATCAAACTAAAAAGCTTCTGCACAGCCAAAGAAACTATCAACAGAGTGAAGAAACAACCTATGGAATAAGAGAAAATACATCAAAATCATTTATTAGAAAAAAGATTAATATCCAAAATATATTTTAAAAACTCAATAATAAGAAAACAACCCCATTTTAAAAAATGGGCAAAGAAGCAGGATGCAATGGTACATGCCTACAGTCTCAATTACTTGGGAGGCTAAGGCAGGAGGATTCTTGAGCCTCAGAGTACAAGTACAGCCTGGGCAACATATTGAGACTCTGTCTCTAAATAATAAATTTTAAAAATAATTTTTAAAAATTCAACAAATGATCTGAATAGACATTTCCCAAAAGAAGACACACAAATTGCCTAGGGGTATATAAAAAAATGCTCAACATAACTAATCATCAGAAAACTGCAAACAAAAACCACAATAAGTTATCACCTCTTAGAATGACCATTATTGAAAAAACAAAATTTTTTTTAAAATGTGAAAAAAAAAGGAACTCTTGTACACTGTTGGTAGAAATGTAATTAGTATAAGCATTACAGTATAAAAGTTTCTCAAAAAATAAAAAAGCTATCATATGATCCTGCAATCCCAATACTGGGTATATATCCAAAGAAATGAAATAATAGTAGAGAGAGGTCAGTACTCCTATGGCCATTGCTGCATTATTCACAAAAGTCAAGATATGGAATCAACCTAAGTAATCATCAGTTTATGAATGGATACAAAATGTGCTATATATACACAATGGAATGCTATTCAGCCCTATAAAAGAGGGAAGCCTGACATTTGTAACAACATGGATGCACCTGGAGAACGTTATAGTAAGAGAAATAAGCCAGGCATAGAAAGACAAATACCACATGATCTCACTTACAAGTAGTGTGTTAAAAAGTAGAACTTACAGAAGTAGAAAGACAATGATGGTTACTAGGGGATGTGGGGGCCCAATGGGTTGGGTGGAAGGGGAGATACTCATCAAAGCATATACAATTTCAGTTAGGAGGAATGATTTTAAGAGATCTGTTGTACAACATGGTGCTGATAGTTAATAACACTGTGTTGTATCTTTGAAAACTGTTCAGAGAATACATTTTAAGTGTTCTCACCACAAAAGTGTTGAGAATGTGAAGTAATGTATATTAATTTGCTCTGTTAAGCCGTTTTACAATGTGTACATATTTCAAAATATATTATACATGATAAATAAAATTTTTTGTCAATTTAAAAAAACTAAATTTTTTTTTTAATTAAGTGATTTGTCTAAGGCCATCAGCCAAAAGGCTGAACTAGGCTATGAACCCAAGACAACTGACTCCTGGGCATTTATTCTTAGCTATAATACAAAACTGCTCTGTTTTATTAACAATATGTTTTGAGTATTTTTCCATGTTAATATATGCACATCTACCCAAACTATTTAATTATTGTATACTGTTCCACTGGTGATTTACAATGCTATATAGAACCAAACTCCAGGTGATACACATTTAGATTATTTATAGTTTATTTCATTATTAAAAATGAATATCTGCTATAAAAAAAGATACTTAAATGATCAAATAAACATTTAAATAAATTTTTAAACATGGTAGTTGTCCGGAAAATTAAAATGAAATACCACTTTTTTCTAATAAAATTTGCCATCTAATATGGAAAGAGGGTTAAAAAAAAATGGTACTCTCTTCCATTGCTGACATGAATGTAAATTCTTTTCTTTCTTTCTTTTTTTTTTTTTTTTTTTGAGACAGGGTCTCACTCTGTTGCCCAGGCTAGAGTGCACTGGCATGATCTTGGCTCACTGCAGCCTCAACCTCCCAGGCTCAAGTGATCCTCACCTCAGTCTCCCGAGTAGCTGGGACTACAGGCGCATACCACCACACACAGCTAATTTTTGTATTTTTTTGTAGACACAAGGTTTTACCATGTTGCCCAGGCTGGTCTAGAACTTCTGGACTGAAGCGATCTGCCCATCCTGGCCTTTCAGAGTGCTGCAATTACAGGTATGATCCAGTGTGCCTGGCCCATAAATGTAACTAACTGCCACATGGAAGATAAAGATGTGTCTATCATGTAACTACTTAAATAAGGAGCCTAAAGAACCTCTTGCTCGGTGCAAACATTTCATTTCAAGGCAAAACTAACACAAAAGAACATTAGTCTAAAGATCCACCAATAAATAAAATGTAGCAGTCTGATATGACTAGAGTAGCTGGGATTACCTGCGTCCACCACCATGCCCAGTTAATTTTTGTATTTTTAGTAGATACATTGAAACTAATTCTACCCTTCAAACATCCTCTTCTCTGGTCAAGTCAGTAACTTTACCAAATTCAAACTATGACTTTGATTCCCCTGGACCCTTCTTCTGAACTAACCTTCCTCATCATCCCTCCTCTACAGCCTTCTCTTCCTAATCTAAAATCTATCTAATATTACAAACCCTTTCCTTACCACTCTATCCTACATTATCCCTCCGTCATCTGAATACTTAGCTAGGGCTTAATTCCAAACACTAGTTTGGCTCAAGCTACCTAAGTAAGAATCACTGCATGGAGATTTTTTAAAGGCAGTTTCCAGCATCTCAGTGGAGATTAGGAGTATTTCCAGAATTGGGGTATAAGAGCCAGTAGTTTTTAAATGTTTAGGGAACAAAGGAAGTCTTATTACATAAAAATAATTTGACCACAATACTAATGGTTACATGTTTATCCTAAGTCTTCCTATTAAACATCGAATGTGCATATCCCATGTATAATTATACATTGGAAGAGCTTAATTTTGAAATAATTCATTTCAAATTCGATTGTAATATTTTGACACAGATACATAGAGGCATTTGTGAAAATGGTGTATTATCATAGAAGGGCACATATTAAGAAATTAATATTCTTAGGCTTAAGTTTATTCAAACGGGCAACAATGAAATTTTGCTTTAAAAACACAAGTTAACCTAAATATAGTTTACCAACCTGCTTGTTGTTCTCCGCCATGGAAAGCTGCAATGCCAACAGCATGGAGTCTGCACCACATACAGTAGTTCTCTCAGAGTTACAAAGAGCATGCCAATTCTTTCGAAACTCTTTAATCATATCCAAGACAGACTTCTGATTAAGCACAGCCATTATCTTAAAGTAGGACAGAATACAAAGTTAAAGTACCTTATGTTAACTGGAAATTAACATTTAACATGTATAAGCAAGCACAGATAGAGATAAATATCCAGTGAATGAGAGGTTATTTCATATTTACCAAGATTGCTTTTAATTAAATTTAGGAAAATAAAATAATACAATTTCTGCACAATCATATTTTCCTCCCCTTTAGTTTCTTAAGCCAAACCTTTTGAAAGAACAAAATCCAGCCTTTAGTTCTGAAAATTCACACAACATGCAAATTTATTGCAAACTTGTAATTACAAACACACCTAAAGCTGTATTTAAATATGTATATTTGTTTTGAGATAGATAATATCTGATAGATTGCAAAAAAAAAAAAAAAAAAAGCCAATTTCCTCCCATCCCATATTGTCCCAAAAGAGGTGGCCTATTTTTCTACCCCTTTGAATATGGACCAGCCTTGTGACTTGATTTAACCAACAGAATGTGGCAAGAATGATGCTGTGGGAGTTCTGAGCTTAGGCCTTAAGTGGTGTGTTGCCTAAGTATTAACACAATAGGCCTCAGTGCTATCCTCTTTGAAGCTGGAGTCCAGTCCAGGCACTTAGATTTCAGAAGTGTTTCCAGTAAGAGTGGCTCACTGTGCTAAACTGTTCATACAAACAATATAGTTTATGCTAAACACTCACTTTTCTTCTGAGTCTGAAATTTTGGTACATGTCAGACAATGGATGCCTTTATGTTCAGCCCCCAATAAAAACCCTGGGCACTGAACCTCTAATAAGCTTCCCTAGTAGACATTTCACATGTGTTGTCACAACCTGTTACTGGAGGAATTGTGTTCTGTGTGACCACTAGAATATCACCTAGCAGTGTCTTGCCCAAATTGCTGATCCACAGAATCATAAGAAAATGGCTATTTTAAAACGATAACTTTTGAAGTGGTTTGTTACACAGTATTACATAACCAATAAAATAGCTAATAGAAGCCAACTTGGTGCCAGTAGGCTTAATATTGATTACCTCATTTAATTCTCATAAGTGTCTGACAAGACAGATGTATTATTACTCTCATTTTATCTAAAATAATATCCCATGTCACTCAGCTTATAAATGGACAAACAGCATAAACCCAAGATGTCTAACTCTATAAGCTGTGTTCTTAAAGCATTATGCTAAATAACTTCTCCCGATGCACACAAAAGTCTTTCAAAATAATTGGAGGTAGTGCCAATGTTTTATATATGGTATATGGGTATATAGTCTGGGTATTACTCCTAAAATAAATCTTTAGGAGTAAATTACTTACTGGTATTATTTAAAGGTAACATTATGAGATTCAATTGCTAGGAATGAAGACTCACTTGGGAATTAGACCATTCTGAAATGTGGAGGCATCCAATTCCTCTGAGTTTACAGACATGCCTGCTAAAATTTTTTTCCTACTTTCTTTTACGTATCCAAGTCTCCAACATATTCACATGGGCATCATCTTATTTAGGTATTTTCCTGTATTCATTCCATTTATTGACTCCTGCTATCCATTTCTTCTACTTTTATGTGGCATAAACAGAATCCCAGATGTCTACTGGCATCTTTGGTTTGTACGATCAAGAACAAAGATATATGCCACTTGCAATATAATTAAATTATAGACACAATCTATGATGCAACTTAAAGATACCAATAGAAGATCAGAGATTAATTATTTACATAAATGCATCTCCTAGTAAACAGCTGAGTGTTGTATTTCTCTTCAAAAAATCACCCTCATCTCTTGAAAGAAAAAAAAAGTGAAGAAGTACAGCTTCAGTGACATAACTTTGCATGAAATAAATTTGTAGGAGTAAATTACTTACTGGTATTATTTAAAGGTAGTATTATGAGATTTGATTGTTATGAATGAAGACTCACTTGGGAATTAGACTATTCTGAAGTGTGGCTCCACCACTTACTAGCTGTGAGATCTTGGCCAAGTTACATCACCTTTCCCTGTCTCAGCTTCCTCATAATGAAATTGAAAACCTGATCCCATAGGGTTTTATGACAAGTAAACAATATAAACAGAAGTAAAACTTTTAGACCAGTGCCTGGCACACATAAAAGCACATTAGCTATTATCATGCATTATGAGTTTCTAAGTTGTTTTGAGTTAAAAGTAAAACAGCATTGGCCAGGCATGGTAGTTCACACCTGTAATACTAGCACTTTGGGAAGCCAACGCTTGTGTGTCACCTGAGGTTAGGAGTTTGAGACCAGCCTGGCCAACATGGTGAAACCCCATCTACTAAAAATTAGCTGGGTGTGGTGGCACGCATCAGTAATTCTAGCTACTCGGGAGGCTGAGACAGGAGAATCGCTTGAACCCGGGAGGTGGAGGTTGCAGTGAGCTGATATCACACCACTGCACTCCAGCCTAGGCAACAGAGCGAGACTCCATCATATATATATGTGTGAAATATATATATGAAATATATATATGCATATATGTGTGAAATATATATATGCATATATATATGTATGAAATATATATATATATGTATGAAAGCATCACCATGGGTGACAGAAAACCAAGAATCTCATTCAGGGATCAGCTAACTTTTTGGAAAGGAAAAAACAGTAAATATTTGAGGCATAACACTACTCACTATGACCTGTAGTGTGGAAACAGCCGCTGACACACATAAACAAACAAATGGGCATAGCTGTGCTCCAAGAAAACTTTTTTTATGGACAGTAAAATTTAAATTTCATGTAAGTTTTACAAATCACAAAACATTATTCTTTTCATTTTTGTTCCCCAACTATATAAACATGTAAAACTCATTCTTAGCTCAGGAGGTGGCTGCACAGAAACAGGCAGCACAGCTAGTTTGCCAACCCCTGGTCTAGCCCCAGCTTTTCCTGTAGCTAGCTGGCTGTGGGAGCCTAAGCGGTTAGCCTTACCCATGGTTGCCTAGGTGGAGGCATCATCACACAGAAATACTCACCTTCCAGTCCGTTGTGAGTCAATGAGACAATAAATATGCCAGCATTCTTAATGGCAGGCTTCACCATATAAAAAACAGGTAGAAAAAGACAGCAGCGATAATAAACACTTGTTTTTTAAAAAATTGGATTCCAAGCTGCTCTAGAGCACAAACTGTGAGACAGAAAATGTTAGCGGGCAGGCAGTGTGAAATGGTTGAAAAAACTACACTTGCAAGTCAGATACCACAGGGTTCGCTTCCAGGCTCCCCCATTTATGGTATTTAACATTTTGATGATCACAAGTTTCTTCACCTGAAAAACCAGGAAGGGAATTCCTACCTCATAGAATAATGAAATGTTTTTAAAACAAGTACATAACCCACCTAGTGCCAGGCATTTAGTAGGTGCTCAATTTTAAAATGGCACTCGAAGTCATTATCAGTGTTAGAGTGCAAGTCCCAAAGGCTCCTTGGGAGGCTTTAACTAATCGGGGGTAGGGGAAACTTGAGGAAGGGGAAAGTTGGAGTCTGAGTGCATCATGGGACTAGAACCCTGGTTTCCTGCCTAACTAATGGAAGTTAAGCAGGCGTCTATGGGCCTGTCTTACAAGCTGCAGACGAACCTTCAGAGTCTTCCAATTCCATCGCTAGATACTGTGAACTCCCCCTACACCCCCAAGCCCAACCAGAGTTCCAGGGCGAAGTCACTACACCTTGATACCTCGGTCCGACGGCACTTTGCTACGACCGAGGTATTATTGTGCAAAGCATCATCAAAAACTACAGCCTGAATCACCGCTTAAAAATGCGACAGGACAGGTGGGGCAAACGCGAGACTTACCTGGTTACAGGAAGACCCGAAGGCGCAAGCTAGTGTGTGCAGAAAGATCCCCCAAGGACCGCCCCTCAGGTGCAGCCGCCGCCGTAGCCGCAGACGAGTACATTTCAAACCTCGCGGGAGACCTCGGAAGCCAATCGCTGCGCTCGCCCTCCGACCCGGAAGCAAAGCCAGCGCGCGTCGCGGCAGCCCGCATCGAAGACCAGCTTGCCTCTGGTCGCTTCCAGGCGCTCTGCGGTGCGTATCGAGCGGGGAGTCCACGAGGCAGCGACGGCTTTTTGCCGGCCGTCCCGCCCTGCCTCTCTATCCCCGGGAGTTCTTCTGTCCCACCTCGGGCCCCGGGAGGAGGGAGCGGGGTCTTGTGGCACTCACCTGGTCCTGGTAGAGGTGTCGGGGTTCATTGCAGGGACTTATCTTGTTTCCTCCCTTCTTCTCTGCCCTTCTAGTTTTACGGGGGCAAGTCCTGCCCAACGTGTACGGTGAGGCCTTGGGCACTGCTTTAATTATCAGTGGTTGTGGGAACTGGACAGTTTCCTGACCTCGAATCTCTTGCACTTACGCTTCTCTGCCTCCGTGTCCATAACACTTTCTGGTCACCCTTAACAAGTCTCCAGTCCCGGATGTCCATTCCTAAGATTACTAGTTTATAAGCGTCTCCAGGTGGGACTCATCTGATTCTCAGTATTCTTCAGGTACTTGATAGGTTTGTTACTGAGCCCAACTGTTTTCAGGAAAACCCTTGTGTCGAATTAAAACACAAAAAACAAAAACTCTAAAACCCGTCATTCTCATATGGGAATGCTACTTCCAGAGTGCACACTAGTCCTTGACAGGTTAGTTAAGGTCTCGTGCCTAGTTTTAAGAATATTATTTTTACTTATTTTAAGTTCTGGGATACATGTGTGGAACGTACAGGTTTATTACAAAGGTAAACGTTTGCTGTGGTGGTTTGCTGCACCTACCAACCCATCACCTAGGTATTAAGCTCCGCATGCATTAGCTATTTATCGTGATGCTCTTCCTCTCCCCGGCCCCCTGAATATTATTTTTTATCACACATTTTGGCACTCCTTAAAACAGATCCTGTATTTTGTATCTGTTTATATGATAGTACTTTTCACGTTGAATCATACCTATCCCTAAAATTGTGGTCTCCTTCAAGTCAGGAGGCTGTGTTTTTCTTCATTAGCACTGGTTCTCCACACACAATGAACTCTTGCAAATCCTGGCTCTGCTTATGAGCTTGGCAAGTTAACCTACTGAAGCCTCAGTTTCTCCATCTACAAAATGGAGACAAGAGGTAGTACCTGCCTATAGGTATGTACAGATATCAATCATGTCAGTAAAATGGTTAATATGGCACCTACAAATAATGCTTCACAAATGTTATTAATTTCTATTAACATATTTGCTATTAAAATTATTCCATCTTAATATGGAATACTATTTCTTTTAGATAATCTAAACAGAACTTTATGGTATTATTGTCTGCTATAATCACAGATTTGGAAAAGAGCTGTGGAGCAAATGTGGAATCATTAATATTAATAACTAGATTTAATAAAGTACTTTTCCCTTGATAAGTACTTTAAATGTTTCATTTGAGCTTTCTGTCTCATTGTAACACCACAACCTTATTTTGATGCATTTGTGGAATGACTGATACTTTGACTGTTCTAATTGTATCTGTGCTGTAATCCACAGTTTCGTGACCTTGTCCAGTAGAAGGCTATTTAATTTTTACAACTGCTTGAATTTTGGCATACAAGATGAAGCAAGATGCCTCAAGAAATGCTGCCTACACTGTGGATTGTGAAGATTATGTGCATGTGGTAGAATTTAATCCCTTTGAGACTGGGGATTCAGGAAACCTAATTGCATATGGTGGCAATAATTATGTTGTCATTGGCACGTGTACGTTTCAGGTTAGTCTACAAAACTGCACTGAATGACAGTGAAGCTATTTCACCGATAAAAGAATTTATACAAACCAAATCTAAACTTTGAAAATATATTGAGTTTGAATGTTAAACAGAGATAACACGCATAGAGTAAGATGTTCCCAGTTATATGTGCCTGAGATTTGTGTAAACATTATATAGATAGTGAAAAAGAATAGTATAAGGCTTCTCTTTTGCCTCATGGTCATTAGTGGAATGTTCTGCTAATTGAAGGTCATGATTAACTGAGCATTAGTATGTACAGGAAAAAAAAACAATTTAAATGAGAGCCAATTAATTATGGTTTTTCTACATTCTGCTTTGACACACAAAGTCAGCTAATATTCAGAGCCTGAAAATTGATCTTCCAGGAGATTTTATAGTTTTTATAACATTTAGCTTTCCTATTAGTGTGCTGTCATATTGTTTGTGCATACAGAGTGTACAAAGTATGGGCCATATTAATTGAGCAGGCATTTAAGCATTGCCATTAAGAGCATGAATTCTAGAACCAGAATGCCTACATGTTCACTCCTGCTTGGCTTTACTTCTTACTAGCTATGCAACCTTGAATCAAATATTTAACTTCTCCTGTAAACATGAGGAAAATAATGCTCCGATTTTAGCATATGTAAAATTCCAAGAGGGCATCTGACAACATTGTAATTCATATGTATGTTTTAGTTGTCATTGATATGGGCAGTGGTAACACTCTCAGATTTAATCACCAAAGTAAGATTGCTTTGTGGTGTACATACATCATGCTTTCTGAGAGGAAAGCTAGTTTTACCTGTAAGAGAGACTTTGAACAATGAAGGTTCAACCCTCAGGACTAGCTTGTTAATCCTTTATCTGAATATTATTAATAGAACTGTATTTCTCAAATTATAATGCACAATTTTCAAAGATTTAAAATAACTATCACTGAAGTGATATTATATTGTTATAGTTATTTCTTCCTTTACTGAGAAGGCAATTCTGTATCTTAGAGTATTCTGACATCAAAAATGCAATTTGGCATTTTATAGTACAATAAATATATAAAGCTTTACAAATTGGGATATAGTCATATTTATCCTAAGAGAAAATATGAATTTAACATTTCACTTTGTTGCTGTCTGAGTAGAATATGACAGCTTCTTGGCTATCCCATACTGTCTCTTTGGGTTGATGTAGAAATTAATAGCTTTTAGACTAAATATGACCCTCATCCTTAGATGGACTCGGTTTAGGATCATAAAAAGTCATATGATTAAGACAATGTAACGTACTTGAAATTTCAAGACCTGACGAAAAACCATTTCTTTAATGGAAGCCACCAATGCACAAAACAGTAAAGCAGCCCCTACAGGTAAAACTAACTTTTTAATTCATTACTCTTAAAATTAATAACTGGACATAAAATTGTATTCGAAAACACTGAAAAATGTTTCTCTCTCATGATTAAGAAATGTTGAAAGAGAAAGTCAATGGAGAACAAATTAAGAAAAAGGAAAGGCAAAGATGAGAGAGGGAGAAGATGAGAAAGAGAAGGAAAATGACAAAATGGAAAAAAGAACTGGTATAAACATTTCTGTTCTGTTTTGGGTTACAGACACATGTATTGTCTCAGTTGATCCTGATACCTGTGAGATTAACAATGTAGGTCTCATTACGAAGGAAAAAATTAGATTTTTATTAATTTGGACAATAGTAAACACAAATTATATTCTGTACCAGACATTGGAAATACAATTAAATAAGTCCATTTCAAAATAAATTACTGCTTTTCTTTGAAGTTATTTTTTAATGTAACTAAACACTGTTAAATATTATTACTGTTCTCTTGTCCTAGAATTTCAAGTTCCATTGCACCCAATTTTATGCCTCTTGAGAGAAAATAAGTAAAGGTAAATTAAGTGGAAAGATTTCCACATTCCTGTCAGAAAGACAATCCTTATTTTAAGGCTATTTAGAAAATGTTGTAGAAACAGTGAATTTGAATTTCAACAAAGCATTTTTCAGAATCTCATGCTGTCCCTTTTATTATGATGGAAATATGAGCTTCTAAATGATAGTGCCGTTAAACTGGTGTTATGTATTTGTCAAATATTCATTAAGTGCATACCGGGTGCCAAGAAGTGAAAAAAGTATGGACCATGTCCTTAAGGAGATTTTCAATATAAAGCAGTACAATGAGAAAAATGTTATAAAAACCTTTCTTAAGAGGAGCATGGACATAGGTGCTTGCCTAAATCAGTGTTCTCATGCAAGTTCTACTAGAGGCCTCAATTCACTAATGAAGACCCTTTGAATAGACTTAGAAATCTTGTATGTATTTTACACTTTTTAAAGTGTGCACGTATCAAATACAGCTAGCCCCATTTCACATGCTTCATAAGGTCCTGCGTGGCTGCCATATCAGACAGCACAGTTCTCTCTGTATCATCCTCTGTAAATTGCCAATAATCTTTAATATTATGATAATAATACTCTTTAGTTCTCAGCAGTATATTAGGATTCAGAGGATATATTTTAATATAAATTTCAGAGTAGTGTCTTAAAGTTTAAAACTGTGAAAGAGGTATTAGACTCAGAAAGGTAAATGGATTTTATGTTGTTACCTCTATTTGAATGAACAGAGTTGTTGCTTACAATGCTTTCAGGCTGAGGCTGAATCTGCTGCTCAGTGTGTATTCACCTAGGGAAGATAACTATGGCCAGATATTTGCCATCATTCAATTAGACTTAGTTTGTGGGGTTCCAGAGATGGAACATGGAACAATGAATAGAATTTACATGGAAACAAATTTTGGCTTAAGTTTAAGAACTCTTCTAATAATTAGAGCTATCCCCCAATTGAATAACTGGCTAGTGGCTACCATAGAAGTAGCTAGTTCCCTCTCACTGGAAGTGTTCAGAGAGGGGTTGTATAAACTCTTTTTATCAGATGCTCTCCTAGGGATTCAAGCATTAGGGGAAAGAATTGAACTAGAGAAACTTCACAGTCTTGACTAACTGAAATTCTGCATTTGTACTTAAATGGGTGTGGTAGGAGGGCCAGCCAGTTTCAAACCCTTATAATAACCCTTCCATCAACCTGGCTTTGCCCCGACCTCAAATATGCTGCAGGCTTGTATAATCATTTGTAATACAGTAAGTTTTCCAAAGTTTCTTAATTTCCTGCCTGTACCATTCCTGCTTATACCCAAACTAAATCCAAAATAACATTTGCCTCTGCCTATACCATACACACACCCTGGCCTTTTAGTTGGCTCAGTGCAAACAGTACTGCCAGGAAAAGAAGTTTCACTGGTAACATAAAAAACTCAAGCTATATCATACCTGGGACTTCTTTATCCCCATGACCATCCAGTAGTTCCATATGTAATTTGGGTAACAAATTATAGGACCTGATTGTCAACAATATTGTTTCAGTAGTAAGATGATGTGTATTTTCATATAAAAACTTCATTTTTAAGAGACTGATTTGTCAAGTTGGGAAGAATAGATATAACCCAAACTATGAAGTCAGCTATGATTAGGCTCCTAAACTTATTTTGGAGCTGTATAACACACAAATTACGAATTATAAAAGTTGACAGTGTTTTTCTTTCCTTGATAAGTGTATTTCTATTATTTCATTTATAGAAAACCTTTTCATGTTAACTCTAACTTCACCTGAAATTTAAAGTTATTTTCAAAGGGTATTTGAATTATGTAGAGAAAGATGAGTAATATATTTGTAAAATGACTTTACTAGGATCCCAAAGGCTATCCTAGAAAAATCAGCATATCCACTTGGATTTCATTCGAGTATACATTATAAAACTTTGCATTTAGATTCTGGGTGAATGGAATTCTTAGATCAGGCCTTCAAGTAATTCCTATCAATATAGACATACGTATTTCATTAAATACCAAGTTTCACCTGCTGTATTTTTTTTCCTGATATTTTAAATCTTGTACACTTTATAAAAAAAGAAAAACCTGTGGTTAATACACAAGATTCCTTGGACAAATTTGTCATGAAAATTTTGCTTTAGTCTCTAGACCCAGTTCAGATATTGATTTAAATAACAATGATGATTTACTTATTTTTAAAATTACAAAAATTTTTATGATTTTTTTTTCTTTTTTACCTTTCCTATTGTGCTGGGCAGTATTTTAATGCATATAAAATATACATTATTCATAAAGGCATAAAGAATAATAAGATGGTTCCCTATATAACTGCTACCTAGTTTAAGAAATGGAACATTAGCAATTCTTTTGAGGCCCCCTCAGTATCCTTCCCTTACTCATGGTAGGTATTTTGCATGGCAGGGTTTTCTGTTTGTCTTTTTTTTTCCCTGCTTCCCCCTTAAGGGCCCTGGATCTATACTGAGATCTGTCATCTGGCATCCTTCCTTGTGCAGGCACTAGGATTTGTCTCCTCTCTCTTGCAAACTGAAACTTTAAATCATTGCATGTGGGCAGATGCCCTTATAACAGCTGCATTCCTTGGTACTCATTTGCTTGTTTGTATTTGGATTTTTGCAATGTTGTAATGGAAGAGCTTTTCATGTTTTTGTCCCCATTTACAGCGCTAGATGCCTTGACTTTTAAAGTTGATTTTTTTTTTACCTTCCCGTGAGAATAAACTGAAATCATTTTTGTAGAGCTGAACTAGATAAATAAGCCAAGTTTATTAAGCATTTATTCCCAGAATAAAATATCTAAAACTAAATTAACCAGATTATTTCTTACATATTCACTATTCATAGACTATAATAGTCCAGATGAATTATTTGTAGCATCTTACACACGTATAATGCCAGAAGTAATACTACATGGAAATCATTGACACTGATTATAAAGACTTAGAGGCATCATAAGGTCCCAAAGTATTTTCCATTTAATCAGAATGTTCAGTATATATTTTTAATATTGTCAGTAGATAATCCAGTTCTGGTAATTTATTTACTAGAATATTTTGATTCTTTAGAGCATTCCATTTTCTTTGTTTTCTTTTTTTATAATGTAGAGACATGGTCTCACTATGTTGCCCAGGCTGGTCTCAAGCTCCTGAGCTTAAGCAGTCCTTCCACCTCAGTCCCCCAAAATATTGAGATTATAGATGTGAGTCACCACACCCCAACAAGCAATCCATTTTCATTGAATTTATTATGAAATGCCTCATAAGATAAAGTAGGACATGTTTATCATTTATTTCTAATTGCCTTAGAGAGTTATTTTGTGAGGCTAAGGTAAGTTTGGATTTTTTTAATTCAGTGAACTAATTCTCAAAATTTTTCAAAAGCATACACATAGCCTCCTGATAAATTCATTTTAATGAAATAATACTGTTTGTTTTCATAACTTACTAAAATCTTTACTGTGCTTAGGAAGAAGAAGCAGACGTTCAAGGCATTCAGTATAAAACACTTCGAACATTTCACCATGGAGTCAGGGTTGACGGTATAGCTTGGAGCCCAGAGACTAGACTTGATTCATTGCCTCCAATAATCAAGTAAGTTTAACAGCACCAAATGCATTCTTTACTAATGTATTTTGATTGTGTTACATGATCTGAAGTCTGATTATAGATACTTTTTTCTCCATTTCCATTTTCCACAACCCAAGATACTAGGTATTTTTATATTTGCTATTACTTAATAATTTAGGCTTATCATCTGAATTTGTGATTTAAATATACAGCCATGACTATGATAACTTGACCATGTGTTTGAGCCAAACTACACAGCTTTTTACATGGGCTTCATCTGAATCAAGGTTTTTACAGAGTCTTCACTAATTCACAACTTTATTGAAACTACAACTCTTTTAATAAAAGACATTAATGAGCAGTTGAGACATTAATGAGCCTTCCTTACCCCACATAGACTAAGATCACATTTTCATGTCTCACAATATGTAAATCTGTAATTCTGGGCTTTGGACTTCAGTTTTTGTGAAAGTGTTTAAAAAGAATGATGGTTTTCCGAGAAAAAAGTCCTGGCAATGCCTGCTGAAGTCTTCTTTACAGGGGCAAGAATATGTTACATTATTTAAGATTTGTTACAAAACACTAGCCTTGTCTCCACAAATGTCAAATCTAAAAGATGTGTCTTCTTTTAGTAAGAGATACTTAGCAACTAAAAGTTATCAACTATTATGCTGATAGTTGATCCTTTAATTTTTTTAATTAAAGAATAATTTAGATACTCTGAAATTCTCAGTATTAATGGTACAATTTGATCAGTATTGACAAATGCATACGTTTGTATAACCCACACTCTATTCATGCACAGTGTTTTTGTCCCCCAAGAAAGTTACTTCATATTCCCTTCCAGTTAATCACTGTACCCCATTCCCTACAGAAGCAACTGTTGATCTGGATTCTATTACCAGAAATCAGTTTTGCCTATTCTAGAACTTCATATGAGTGGAATCATACAGAATTTTTTTTGTGTCTGGCTCAGTGTTTTTGAATTTTTTCCACATTGTTATGTATACCAGTGCATTTTAAGTAGTACTCCATTGCAGTGTATCAATAGATGATAGTCTGTTTATTCATTCTTCTATCAATGGGTACCAATACGGTTTCCAGTGTTTAGTTATTATTTTTTGCTGAATACTGCTTTTAGTGGTTATATGGTTTAATTTATCTTAGGAGTAGAATTGTTGAGTCACAGGGTAGATGTATGTTTAACATTTTAAGAAAGTCCCAGTTTCTAAAGTGGTTCTGCCATTTCATATGTTCACCAGTCATCTACGGGTGGTCTCCCTACTCTCCAACACTCATTGATTCATTTTGAGACAAGTTCTAGCTCTATCACCCAAGCTACAGTACAGTGACACCATCTCCACTCACTGCAATCTCTACCTCCCAGGCTCAAGCCATCTTCCCACCTCAGCCTCCTGAGTAGCTGGGACTATAGGCATACATCACCATGCCTGGCTAATTTTTGGATTTTTTTGTAGAGACAGGGATTTGCCATGTTGCCCAGGCTGGTCTCAAACTCCTGAGCTCAGGCAATCCATCTCCCTCGGCCTCCCAAAGTTCTGGGATGATAGGCGTGAGCCACCATACCTGGCCTATACCCCAACATTTATTATTGTCTATCTTTTTATTTTCTTTTTCTTTTTCTTTTCTTTTCTTTCTTTTTTTTTTTTTTTTTTTTTTTTTTGATACAGAATCACACTCTATTACTCAGGCTGCCATCCAGACCCATGATTATGACTCACTGCAGCCTCAACCTCCCTTGTCTCAGCCTCAACCCTGCCTCTCACCTCAGCCTCCCAAGTAGCTGGAACTACAGGCATGCGCTGCCACTCCCAGCTAATTTTTGTATTTTTTGCAGTGATGGGGTTTCACTGTGTTACCCAGTCTGGTCTCGAGCACCTGGGCTTGAGCAGTTCACGCATCTTCTTGACCTCCCAAAGTGTTAGGATTACAGGTGTGAGCCACTGTGGTTAGCGTTTCTTTTTAGTTTTAGCCATTCTGGTTGATGCTGCAATGACATTTCCATGATGACTAATGATGTTGATGCTTTTTTGGTGTATTTGTTTCTTCTATTAGAAATCTTTGTGTGATTTTTTTTTTTCAGGTTGCATGTTTTTTCCTAAAGCCTTTACCAATATTTAGTTAACTTAATTTTGAATAATCTAACAATAGCTTTTGTCAGCATATGTAATAATATCATTACCAAAGCTGGTGTGCTGTTCATTTCCTTTTATGTTAAAAGAAACTGGTCACAATATCCAGACCCAAATAAGAGCAAAGTCTCTTTGATTCTTTAAATTTTGAAAGCTGTGGAAACAGTCGTCTTCCCTTGGTTTTGAGTTAAGTTTTGTGATACATTCTTTAACCTGGATATTCAACTCTTGTGTTCTGTGCTCTCCTTGTTGCTTAGTACTTGTTTATCTATCCTCTTTTTAGTGAATTCGCTGTGTTTGATCATTTCTGGTGGGTGTTTTTGTTTAGTTTGTTTTTCTTAGTTTTCGGTAAACTGTCTCAAGTCCTTTTTGGAATTATACAAATAACAATAACAAATTTAAAAGACATTAGCAAGACATTAATTTTAGACTATTTTTAGAGCAAGCTGACAGCACAATCTTGTTTTCAAATAAATTATTATTATAAAAATGATAAATGCTTAATAGATAAAATTTAGAAAACAGAAAATAAAAAGGATAAGAATGCCATTTATGCTCCCAATACTCTTTCCATTTTTTATACATAGTTGTACATAATTGTGATTATACTTAGTAACTCTCTATACTTTTTTTAACTTTACTTTTTTAGTAATATTCTAAAATAGTAGTCCATCACCATGACTAAGGTATAACTCAGCATCTCTCTTACCATCGTTAGTTTTTATCTTACATTTAGAAACCCTTCATGATGGCTTATGATTAGCATGTAGTTGCCTTAAATTCTCTTTCTCTCTGCCTTTCTGCTCTTTCTGTCCTTACTTGCTTTTCTTGCACAGTGGCTAGAGGATTCATTATTTATCTTATTTCAGCTCTCTGAGGTTTTCTGGTTCAATTAAAGGACCTAAATATCCCTACAACAGCAAGGATTCAAAGAAAAGTGGGGCAACACAAGGCTGGCTATAAAGTTTTGTGGGTTGGTTTGTTTGGTTTTATTTAAATCCTATTAAGAGTATTAATTATCCAAAAGAGAGCCCGCATAGCCAAGTCAATTCTAAGCAAAAAGAACACAGCAGGGGGCATCACACTACCGGATTTCAAACTATACTACAAGGCTACAGTAATCAAAACAGCATGGTACTGGTACCAAAACAGAGATATAGACCAATGGAACAAAACAGAGGCACCAGAGGCAACACAACATATCTACAACTATACAATCTTTGATAAACCTGACAAAAACAAGCAATGGGGAAAGGATTCCCTGTTTAACAAATGGTGTTGGGAAAACTGGCTAGCCATGTGCAGAAAGCAGAAACTGGACCCCTTCCTGACACCTTACACTAAAATTAACTCCAGATGGATTAAAGACTTAAACATAACACCTGGCATGATAAAAACCCTAGAAGGAAATCTAGGCAAAACTACCAGGACGTAGGAGTAGGCAAGGACTTCATGAACAAAACACCAAAAGCATTGGCAACAAAAGCCAAAATAGACAAATGGGACCTAATGAAACTCTACAGCTTCTGCACGACAAAAGAAACAGTCACTAGAGTGAATCGGCAACCAACAGAATGGGAAAAAATTTTTGCAGTCTACCCATCTGACAAAGGGCTGATATCCAGAATTTACAAAGAACGCAAATAGATTTACAGGAAAAAAACAAGCCCATTCAAAAGTGGGCAAAGGATATGAACAGATACTTTACGAAAGAAGACATATATGAGGCCAACAATCATATGAAAAAATGCTCATCGTCACTGGTCATCAGAGAGATGCAAATCAAAACCACATTGAGATACCATCTCACGCTAGTCAGAATGGCGATCATTAAAAAATCTGGAGACAACAGATGCTGGAGAGGATGTGGAGGAAAAGGAACACTTTTACGCTGTTGGTGGGAGTGTAAATTAGTTCAACCATTGTGGAAGACAGTGTGGCGATTCCACAAGGCCTTAGAAATAGAAATTGCATTTGACCCAGCAATCCCATTACTGGGTATATATCCAAAGGACTATAAATCATTCTACTATAAGGACGCATGTACACGAATGTTCATTGCAGCACTGTTTACAATAGCAAAGACCTGGAATCAACCCAAATGCCCATTGATAATAGACTGGATTGGAAAAATGTGGCACATATACACCATGGAATATTATGCAGCAATCAGAAATGATGAGTTCGTGTCATTTGTAGGGACATGGATGAATCTGGAGAACATCATCCTCAGCAAACTGACACAAGAACAGAAAACGAAACACCGCATATTCTCACTCATAGGTGGGTGATGAAAAATGAGAACACATGGACACAGAAAGGGGAGTACTAAACACTGGGGTCTATTGGGGGGAAAGGGAGGGCCAGTGGGAGGGGGAGGTGGGGAGGGATAGCCTGGGGAGAAATGCCAAATATGGGTGAAGGGGAGAAAGGAAGCAATACACACTGCCATGTGTGTACCTACGCAACTGTCTTGCATGTTCTGCTCATGTACCCCAAAACCTAAAATGCAATAAAAAATTTTTTAAAAAAAGTATTAATTATCTTTTAAAGTAAGTTTTCTTTGATTGCTGTAACTCTTTCTTTGTTTGCTGACATTTTTACTGAACTTGGCCTGATTTTGCATTAATAACCTTTTACATACCCTTTTAGTTGGGATATTTCTTTTAACAGCTTCCAGAATACCTTTTATCTGTTTTAGAGATGACATTTTGAAGAAAGTTTTATGATTTCATTATCCTATAACTGAGGAAATCTGTAGGAGACCCTCAACATGAGTGATATTGTGGCAAATTTATCTAGAGTTTCCTATGAGTAAAGAGATAATGAATACCCGAAGAACAAGACAAATTCAAAGGAAAAAGAATTAGG